ATAATGATAATAGATGATAAATGATAATATAAAAAAATTCAACCACACCATCATGTAATCTGTCCAAATGAAACTTTGATAATTTTTTTTTGTTGTTGCTGCTGTTGTTGTTTCGCCTTGTTATTGTATTTTTCAACAAAAAAAAAAACACGTAACTCCAATTAAAAGTCATTGCCGGCTCATCTGTGGGTGAAAAAAAAAAAAAATTTTTTTTTTTTTTTTGGAAACTTTTTTTTGAAAATGATAAATCTGAAAAATTGAGAAAATTTTCTGATCAAGTCATACTTTCAGGCAAAAGTGAATGGAGAAAGAAAAATAAAAACTTTGATCGATGATAATGAGATTGTTGTGATCAAAGTTTTTTCAAATGAAAAAAAAAAATTCACACGCCGGCATTTTTCATAGTTGTTGTTGCTGATAATTTACCGAATTTTTTCTATATAAAGTTGTTTTTTTTTTGGTTCTATTTTATAGCTCACTAAATAACCCTATCAATCAAATGATGTAAATAACAGCAGAAAAATAAACACATACACCAAAAAAAAAGTTTGCTAAAACTTTTCGATGTTTGGTAAAAAAAAAGTTTTCATTCAATCAATATCGATCTGATCGTTTTTGATGGTAATGAAATTTTGGTCATTATTTTTTATTTTTTGGTTAACATTGTTAGTGGACCTTAGTCTTCAAACATACAAATATTTGCTTTATTTCTGTGTTATCGTTGTTGTTGTTGTTATTGATTTACCTTTCAGGCATTTTCAAGTTGATGTTCATGTTTTTTTTCTGCTGCTGCTGCTGCTGCTACTGCTGCTTTCCATAACAAACGAAAATTTATTCATATATGGTAACAAATGACTACTTAAATGTTGATGATGATGATGATGATTACTGTAAATGTTGAAAAAAAGTTACTACTTTTGGCAACCAGAAAAAAAATCCATCATCATCATCATTATTATTTCAATAAAAAGATAAATTTTTTCATTATTATTCATCATCATTATATCGTCATTACATTTCGTTTTTTTTGTGTGTTTGTGTGTGTATATGAAAATTGATTCTATTAAATCGAAATGGCAAGGCGTCGAAATCAAATCATAAAAAAGACATCCACCCAATAATAATATTCATTTATAATTGATTATGATGATGATGATGATTATTAATATGAATGTCAAGTATTTATAGTTGAAATATGAATTTCATTTCCGACACATGCATACATACACACACACATTTGTAATTGTCGTCACTTTTTTTTATTATATTTATTTATTTCAAATAACCGACTTGATTATTATTATTATTATCGTATGGCGACATCATCATAAATATACGCCCACACTGATAAACAATATTAGGTGCATAGGTTCAGATGCAAATATTATAGATAAAATGAGCCCTTTTTCATCATCACATATGATGATGGTGATGACACATTATCACATTAACATTTTTTTTCACTAATCACTAATCATCATCATTATCATTATTTTTTTTCTTTCACTTCTTCATTCATTAACCCATTATCTCATCATCATCTAGTTGTAGTGTGAATGGAAAAATTAGAGGTAGAAAAAAAAAACAGATGATATAATAAGCTTAGCGATGATCTATCCATTCATTTATGATTCTTTTTTTTCATATACATAGATGATGATGATGATGATGATATGATAATTATGATATGAATAATTATAAAGTAATTATTGTCAGTCAGTCAGTCAGTCAGTTATGACTTTTTTTTTGACTAAATATAAAAATGTTCTTATATGGATAATGAGAAGAACTGAATTTTTTCATCTGTTTTTTTTTTTTTTTTTTAATTTGATCCTTGTTTGCTACTGGTATTTTGATTTTTTTTTTTTTTGGAAAAGCAATTTTTTTCGCAAAAAAAAAAGATGATTCAAAACAATTGAAATTTGTGATAAATGAGAAAAAAGTTGTTGGTTACTACTACTACTACTACTACTGCTACTGCTAAATTGCTACTAACCAACAATTTTTTTTTTTTTTTTTTTTTTGGTTCACCTCTACAATAAATTATCATTTCCGTTTTGTTTTTACTTTCTGGAAATAAAATAAAAATAAAAATTTATTACTGGTGTGTGTGTGTATATGCACACCAATTTGATTGTCGTTGTATTTTTTTTCTCTCACTTTCACTCTCTCTCTCTCTTTGCTCTCTAGTATATTGTGTTCATTATAAACCGTTCACCAATCATCATTATCATCATCATCATCATCGGGCATCATTAATGTTATGTAATAAAAAAAAATGAACCTGGAAAAAAAAATTCTGTTGTAAGTTCACAACATTTTTATACATTTTTTTTTCATTCTGGTTTTTCATGCTCTTAAAATACACACACACTGAAACACATTTATATATGTATATGTATCGATTCGCGTGACTTTTTTTTCCTCATCGTTTGAGGTTTCATTTTCCAATTGTCTTTTTTTTCTGTATGGTTACGGTTGTTGTATACAACTACTAAACACACACACACACACACACTGACACAGACACAGTCAAATATCGATCTTTTTTTGGTTACCTAAACTAACTAACCAACCATTGTGAGGGTAGTATATATATGTTGTATGTATAAAAAGAATAGAAAAGAAAAATGAAGCTAAAAAAAAAATAACAACTCCAGTCTAGAGGAAACCAAATAAAAAAAAAGAAGAAAAAAAATGATCAGATTAATGATGTCTATTTTTTTCCTTTTTTTCTTCTTCTTCTTCTTTTTGTTTTCTTCGGCCAACCACACACACACACACACACACACACACACACATGAACGATCAATTCTGCAATTTTTTTTTCCTTTTTGATCGACCGCGCGTCATCAATCAACCGGCAATAATGTTTGCAACACATATATATAAAAATTGAAGCTCATAATTGGTTCAGTTTCGTTTGTTTTTTTTTTCGTTTCATTTTTTTTTCGATGAGTTTCCATTTTGACTTTTTCAAATGTTTTGATTTCACACAATACACACACTTGAACAAATTGTTCATTGAAAATAGAATATATTGGTTATTTGAAATCAATTTGTTGGGTTTTTTTCCACATTCTTTGATCATTTATTTTGTGTGTGTGTGTGTGTATGTGAATCAAAACCAACATTGTCCGGAACTGAGAAACGATGGTCAGCTAAATTTAGCAACTGGTTCGGAGTTGTTTTTTTCAAGTTAAAATTATCAAAAAAAAAAAAAAAAAAATCCGAATGACGTCGATTTGGGTACCAGCAACAATATGCCGTAGGGATGATGTAAAAAATCAGAGCAATTACCATTTATTATTGATTCGAATTTTCGTATGAAAAAGTTATCAAAATTTTTGTAACAATTTTATTTTGTCGAGAAGAAGAAAAAAAAAAAATCCATGCCATTACATTATTCGTGTGTGTGATTCAACGAATTTAATGTGAAAGAAAAAATGATTTTAATTCTCCATAAACTTTTTCATTCTCCAAAAAAAAAAAAAAAAAAAATTTCTCAAATTGACAAATGAATCATCGATAATATAAAATGGCAATGGAAAATGTGTGTTTTTTTTTTTGGTTCCAGATTTGTAAAGCTGTTGCTGTCGTTGTTTAATAATAACTGGATTTAAAATCCAAAATGTCACCATATTTAACGTTATTTTGTGTATGAACGAAAAAACTTTTTTTTCTCTCTCTGTTCAATCCTTTTATCACTTTTATCATCATCATCATCATCATGTAACATCAATGCAAACACACGCAAACACAGAAAAAGAGTGACAAAGTTTTCATATTTTGAATGGATTCACATTTTCATGTTTTTTTTCAAACAAAAAAGTTTTTCTGGAAAAAAAAATCCAAAATACGATTGTGATTGTGATATATTATCAAAAATATGTGTATTTCATTTGTTTTGATCATTGTTTTCAAATAATCATGAAAGATGGCACTTGTTTGTGACCAGATCATCAATAAATAAATTTGAATTTTTTTCATTTGTACATACCATCATGATGCAGATGACGATGATGATGATGATGACCAAAACAATATAACAACAATTGACCACAAAATAGCCGATAATATCAATGAAATGATCAACAATTTTAATGAAATTTTCAATATATTCCAGAATAGTTGATGAAAAAAATATCTAGTATATGGTGTCATGTTTTTTTCTCTCTCTCTCTCTCTCTCTCTCTCTTGATTATGGCTACTGGATGATGAATGCAAAAACAAACAAACAAACAATTTGCAAATTCAAGTCGGTTTGTTGTTTGTTTGTATGCATGTGTGTGTTTAAACCATTGAAATTTCATTATAACCACAAACATATTTGGTCCAGTTTTAATAGTTGTTTAGTGTCACCTGTCAAATTATCATTATTATTTGTTTCCTATTTCATGTTTCGAATGAATGAATAATTTTTGTTGTTGTTGTTGTTGTTGTTGTTTGTTATTGTTGTTGTTCAAACGATCCTGGTCGTCCGTAATAAAATGGATGACATATATTTTTTTGTTCTGTTCTGTTCTGTTCTGTTTTGTTTTGTTTTGGTTCATATATCTGTCTTTTTTTTTGATATTTTCCATATTTTTTTCTCCCTCTCTCACTCTCCACTCTTTTTTTTTTTTTGTTCATTTCCCGGACAAACAATTCTCAGTGAGTTGAATAATAATAATAATAGAAAATGATTCAAAATGAAATTGAAAATCCAGGTTATTGTTGTTGTTGTTGTTTTTTTTTTTTTTTTTTTTATTTCATTTATTTATGGGCAGGCTTTTATTTTTTTCTTGCATGTCGATTGTGTGCCAATGATGATTATTCAAACGTATCGTATCATCAGCAATTTTTAAAAAGAGAAAAGAGAAAAAAAATATTTCAGTAAACTACAGATGCTGCCATCTAGTATCCTGGATTCAAGTTTAGCTTGGTTTTTTTAAATATTTTTATTTAAAAAAAAATCCAATAATGCAAGATAAATTTGCATAAATTAAAATTGATTTTTTTTTGAATATGATACAAAAATCGTGTGTGTGTGTGTGTGTGTGTGAAAGTATTAGCTGCCTTAGTGCTTTCAACACAAGCTTGTGTTGTGGTGTGATGTGAAAGAATTAAAAAAAAAAAAAAAAAAAATCATTAGCAAACAACAAAATTGAAATAAATTATTAAATTATAAAATTTTCTCTCATTCATAACGTTTCCAATCATAAACATTTGTTTCGGTTGTTGATTTAATTTCTTCACGTTCTTCAATGGCCTGTTGAAATTGATTTCGTTTTCGTATTGATCCACTATATGATAAATATGATTGTGATGGTTCCAAACTTAATGCATCTAAATCCGGTGAATATGGTCGAAAATCATATTCATATAATCGTTTTGATGATGCATTTGTTGTATTTGTACTAGTGTATGGATTTTCTAATCGTCTTGTTCCGAATACTGATGATGTAGGTGATATTGTTCCATTAAATGGTTTGGATCGTCTACCACTACCATATGGACGTGTTGTTGTAAATGCTGGTTTTATTGGTGTAAAATCTGGTGAATGACATTCATAATGTCTTGGATCAGGTAATTGTTTGGCCCAATTGCCAGAACGTTGTTGCGATGGATGATCATCATTATCGTCCATAGGATAATCTGGTAATGGAACATAATGAGCTGCACTTAAACGACTACGAGTGAATGTAACATCTTCTTCGGTAACAGATCGTACTTCTTGAGCGGAAAATCCGGATCTGTGAGCAAAAAACAAAAAAATTAATGATCAAAATGAACAAATAAAGATCAAATTTTACCTATACGTATCCGAATATCTAGTTGGCCGTGGCAATGGCCTTCTTTGATTCACTTCTGGTAATGATAAAAGTCGAAATATTACTTCCCAAGTAGGCGGTTCAAACATTGGACCATATGTTGGATGATTTTGTATTCGTTCAACATATTCTTCAATGGTTGTCGATTCAATGATCAATGTACGAAATACTTCATCAGTAAAAATGATTTGTCGAAAACGATTTCTAGTTGGTAACATGAAATATTCATCTATATTGGGTATTTTATCACGTGGTGGATTATCTAATACTCGTATTATTTCATCAATTTTCGTAGTAATTGTTGTTTCCGATATCGATTGCGTCGTTGTCGTCGTTGTTGTTGTTGGTGGTGGTGGTTGTTGCATAGGTTTTCTTGGTATCGAACGCATTCGAACATCAAATCCGGTTATATGTTTTGTTTCATCTAATAATCTTGTGTCTTTTTCTTCTAAAATTTCTTCTTCATAATCAATTTCCATTGTTAAATTAGGCATTGATCGGCCAATTTTTGTTACATGTTCATTCGTTTCAGTTTCAGTAATGTTTGTCACATAAAAATCATCAATATTTTTAACCATAATTTTCGGCTTTTTACCGCTCACTAAACGATGAGTAGTATCATCCACGAATTCTTCTACATCTCTTGAATGTGTTATATAATCATCATGTTCAGTTGTTTGTGTTATTGGTGGTTGCATAGCATTAATGATTGTTTCATCCAAATCATCAATAACTTCATCAATTTCATATAAATCTGTTCGAAAATAATCATCTTGTCCTGTGGTTGTAATTTGTGGCATTTTTGTTGGACCATGAATACGATATTTACTGACGTCGTCAATGACATCGGTTTCTTGTTCAGAATGTACAAAAGTATCATCAACTTTTTGCGTTGTTAATGGTTTTTTTGGACCAAAAACTCGTTGATTGGTGGTTATTTCATCAATTTCTAAATCAACTTGTGGTGTAACCAATGTTTCATCGATATATTTGGTTGTAATTGGTTTTTTTGGTGGCACAATCACACGTTGAGTGGTTACTTCATCGATAATTTCCGTAGTAGTTTTTGGTGTAACAAAATATCTGTCTGTAATCAATTTGGTAATTATTGGTTTCTTTGGAACAATTAAACGATCAATTTCATAATCAGTGTCCACATCTGTTTCTGATGCATGTGTAACAAAACGATCATCAAATTTACGTGTACTAAACAGCGGTACTGGTGGTACCAAAACATTTTGCTGTGTTTGTACAACATCATTTTCAATCATATCTTGATCATGATAGAATATATCATCCATATATGAAAGTTTTGCTTCAGGAATGAAACCTAAATTTTGAAATTGATAATCATCACGATGTATGATTGAACCTTCAGATATTATTGAATGTTCTTCCGATGATATTGATGGTGGTGGGAAATACGGTAATTCAGTGGGTGGAATAAATTTACGAACAACTTTAACTTTTCGTTTCTTCAGACAATAATAACCGATACCGATTCCTAGTAGTAATAATGTTAAAAATAATAATGCCGATACAATCAATAATAATTCCACTTCGGATAATTTTGCCGGTATAAATGGTACTGCTGGCGGTGGTTGTTCCAATCTACATAATTTAATTAGTCATAAGATTAGATGAATCAATCAATTATATGTTGATTAATAAACACACATACATTGGTGCAGCAATCAATGGCGGTGGTGGTGCCAACGGTGGTGGATATCGACATACAATCGTTTTGATTTCATCTTCTTCCAATTCTAATGCACGATGAAATCTAAGTATAATGTTATTGATGAAAATTCTTGGTGCTTCCTGAAAACAAAAATCAAATCAAATCAAATCAATCAATAGATCAATCATTAAAGTGAATGTTTGATATATAAATAAATACCTGTTTAGTACCACAGCCTTTCAATGGTAAACGCATTTCATAATAACGACCACCATCGCCATAAAATTTACATGGACTTGAACGATCATAATCAGCGTAGCCAACACCACGAAATGGTTCAGTGAAATTAATTTTAACAATCATTTCACCACTTTCACATGAAAGATATGCTATACAACAGACAGACAAAACAAAACAAAACAAAACAAAAATGAATAAAATGGGCGTCATCTTTTTCTCGTCGTTTATTGTTCATTCTCTATTTTACATTATTATTCAATTATATATCAATGACATAGATCGATAGATCACATATGATTGACATACATACACAGCAACCAATAGAACAAACAAACAAACATATATATTGAAATCGGCTAAAATCTCTCTTTTTTTCCAAAATGAAATGATCCCAATGATTTATTATTCACTTTTAAATCATAAATGTAAATAATTTAAGGTGTGATCATCATCGTATAACTTATTAATAATTAAAACATTTTCCACCATTGTTTTACCATCATAATGATCTGGATCATCGATTAATAACGATGATAATGAAGAACAATTGAATTGAATTTTTTAAGAGGAAACTGGCTAATTTACGATAAAACGAAAACTGAAACATGATACTTTTTTTTGCAATTCAAAACTGGAAATCTTTTTGGCAAAAAAAAACCATCTGATGATTATGATCATTATCTTCAACACCATCTCAGTAGTGAATTGGCCAACACTGAAACAACTCACTCACTAATTAAACATAATGATGATGATGATGATGATAATTGGAGACATAAATTTCAAAGTTCATTGGAAAAAAAAATTTATTTTCTCTTACCTCTTGTTCGATTAGTAATAATTTCCGATTCCAATTGATCAGTTGCTGCTAATCGTACAACATTTTGTGCATGTTTTTTTGCCTGTTCTTCATTCGCTTGTTCAGCATAAATACGAGCTTTATTAATTGCTTCAACGTCAACATTATCCAATGAATTTAATGATGATACAACAGCTGTTCCGGGTTGTTGTTGTAATAATAAATTTGTAGCTTGTCTATTGTTGTTGTTATTATTTACACGATTACGTGTATCGTATTCATTGGATGTTACCAATGATGATGGTTGTATTTGTATTCTATTGTTTACATTATTATTATTATTGATTCGATTATGATTATGATGATTGTTTTGAACACCAGATCCATATTGTGTTTGATTGTTTGCTACATTGTCTATCGTGTTGGATGAATAAATATTTGAACCAGAATTTATGGCAGTACGATTAATTGGGCTAGCTTGTTGCTGGTGTCCATAATGATGACCAATGGTCCGGTTTATGGTGTCAACACCGATATTATCTTGAATATGGCCACTTGAATAAACATTTGTGCCAATGTTTCCTGGTTGAACAATTGTACGATTCATTCCTAACCCAGATGTTTGATGAATTCTATTTTGATGGCCCGAATCAAATGTATATGGTGCTCCTGAATGATGAATGACTGCTGTTCGGTTGTTGATGGCATTAATTTGCGTTTTATTTTGATGATGACCAGAATGATATCCAGTTTGGAATCTATTATTACCTTCCAAATGAGTATCAGTTACATCGACAATAACGCCTCGATAATGATGATCACCAGTTGAACCATGGTAACCATTATCATTATTGTTGACAACAAGTGCTGAACTAACATCAGGACTAACAGCAGCTCTATGATAACTTTCCAGATCTGTACGACCTCCTTGATGTGCTGAAGTAATTAAACGATCACCATCATGTGCAGATCGATTATAGTGGCTGATTTCAGCGCCACCGTTTTGTCTGATTTCATAATGATGAACAGTTTGTGGTCGATATTTGTGAATCGAATCTCGATCAATATGATCAACTTGATTATGAAGTGGATGATGAAATTGATGTCGCTGATTATTAGAATTATGATGATGGCCAATGTCAGTGCTAGTATCAGCAACCATTCCTGATCTTTCAACTTCTTTGAATCTTGTATTGCCATTATTATCATCATCATCATCATCATCTTTAACATTGATACGATCGCTTACATGTATGACTGAACCAGTTATTGGTCTGGCTTTGAAACGATTATTATTATTATTATTGATCACATTTGATGATGATGTGTATGACAAAGGATGATAATGATGACCATCACCATCACCACCAAAATGAAATATAGTACCATTTCGAAGACGAGGCCTATTATTGATGGATTCAGCCACTACAGGGCTATTATGATGATGATGATGATTACTATGATCAAAACTGCCATCATTATCATTATGATGAAAATTATGATCAACAACAGTTTCAATATTATGGCCACTACCAATAACGACTAGATTGATCTATATTCATTTAACAATAGAGATAAAATATCGATATGATTAACATATGTTGTTGTTGTTGTTACACATAGAGAAATAAAAAAAAAAAAAAAAATGAATAATTTTTTTTTTCGTTTACCATAAAAAAATATATGGAGACCAGAATGATGAAAGAAATGTTGGTGGCATTTGACTTGTTCGATAATGATTTTCGATGCTGATGATGATATTTTTTCATCTTCGTAGATGTTTCATCAATATTGGTGGCTACAATTATGGCAATGGATTTGATGATCATCATTTTTTTTTTTTTTTTTGATGTGATGTTGTGGTTTTTATTATGTAGTATAGATCACATTTGTCACATTTATTGATTATTATTGATTTCAATCAATCGATTTTGATCTGGACAAAGTTCACAATAATAATAATACGATGATGAATGAATGGCAGTTGAAATTACATCTGTTGGTTTTGAATAAAATAAGAAGAAATGAAAAAAAAACTTGAAATTGAATAATTTAAATGATTCACATTAATGGATGTTTGTGTTTGTGTGTGTGTTCGTGTGTATCTAGTCTATTTGATCAAGCTTGAAAAACTTTGTTTATGCTGATGATCATGTTGATGGCCAGTTAGATTTTTCTTAGTTAGAGAATCAAGATCATTTGAAAAAAAAATGAACAGGAACACAAAACATGAAGATGTTGTTGTTGTTGTTGTTGTTGTTTTTTTTCTTAAAAAGAAATAAAAATGCACACACCAAACACCAAAAGCCACCACCAGACAAACAACTAAATAACAAAAAAAAACGACCACCAACACTTTTAAAGATTAGAAAATCAAAAATCCAAATTAAGGCATCAATGTTAATGTTGGTCATGATTTTTTTTTATCAACGTGTTTGGTATGGTATATTCATCATCAACAAATGAATATATGAACAAATGGATCCTCAGATGGATACAATTGATCCTACGATATTATTTATTTACAAACTATAACCAAAATAGAAAGAAAGTATTTCCCAAATCTATCTTCTGTCATTCTTTTTTTTTCGCACATTTAATCATTCATTTTGGACAGCCAAAATGAACACCTCCACACACGATGATGACGACCACGAAGATTTTTTTTTTTTTTTGGTCATAATTGAATGATGATGACGATGAATGACTACTGGTATATATTGCCACTACCACTTTCATTATCATTCAACATTCAACATTGCAACAGTAAAAGATCATTTATCGTTTTTTCTTTAAAACGGAAGAATGAATCTCTTGAATCGTATGAGTCAAATGAATAAAAATTGCTAAATAAAGTAATGATGATTATGATGATGAAAAAAAAAAAAAAAATCACCAATTGAATGAACAAACAAATGAATGGCAAAAATTGTTCATTCTCAATGGTATTTTTTTTTCTATATATCCTTGATGATTGTTGTACATTTGGATTTTTTTCTTCTTCTTCTTCAAAAAAAATTCATTTCAATTTTTTATCTTCATTGTTTCACTGTTTAACTGTTTTTTTTTCATTCGTATGCATCAAATCCGGATACAAATTGTGCAGGAGTATAATGATGATATACATGAAATTGAAATTAATGAATTTCCGATAAATTATAACCACTAATCATAATGATAATGATGATGATGATGATGATGATAATAAGAAACATATCATCATGATCATCATGATTGATTATTAAAATCAATATTTCCGATAAAACATATGTTCAATAAATGAATCAGTTGCTAATCTCAATTGATTAAATAGGACGGGACGAACTTATATAATAAATTGAAAATAACAGGAACAACAACAAAAAAATCGATTGTATCGATTTTTATCCACTTGAATCATCACGATATATAATTGGTTTATTGTTGAAAAAGAAGAACAAAAAGTTTTTTTTCAAAAAGAAAAAAAAAACTTCCGAGTGAATCATTCATTTTACCATGAAACCATAAAGGCTAATATTAATTTAATAATCATCATCATATATGATATTAATCTGTCAATTTGTGACCTTTACCAAACAAATACACATAATAAATGTGTGTGTGACATCATTTAATAATAATAATGATGAAATGTCCATGTTTGTATGTTTGGTGTTGTCATATTTCATAAATCATCATCATCATAATCATTATGGCGATGATGAATTAAATTAGACATTGATAATCAAAATGGTGATGAAGAAAAAAAAATATGATGATGATGAACAAAGATCCAAAAATGAAAATCTACCATTGACGTTTGTATATTCGTATTTACACTTGATATCCTTGGAACAACATGATCATCATCATCATCAAATGGAAGAAAAAAAAACACACAAGATATGACTACCTAATTTGGTAAATATGATGATGGTCGAATGTCATACAACAGCAACAACAACGACAACGACATTGTCATCCTTCACTGAATTCTAATGCATAAATTCATTGTCCAAATAAAATTTAAAAAAAACTAAATAATTGTTTGGAGGTTATCATCAACCCGCACAATTATTCATCAATGTCTGAAACAACTGAAATGAAATGAATCCAAAACCAAAAAAAAAAAAAAAATCGAAACGAAGAAAAAATTTTTCCATCCAAGAATCCTCCACAAATTGTTGAATGATATTGGATCACCATGTTAGGTTTATGTGTGGATGTTATTTCAACAATAACAGCAACAAAATGTTTTTGAATTTTAATCATAAAAACTGCTGCTGCTGCTGCTGCACGATATTCATGTCATTTTATAAAATACCACACACACACACACACACACACATATGTAATTATAACCATAACCATAATGATGATGATGATGATGATGATCTAGATAATTGGTGGTAATGTCTATTCGAAGTTTTTTTTTACTTTATTGCTTTTTTATTTCTTTATCCGCATTATTCAAACCTCTATAGTTGTCGGAAATTGTTGTTGTTGTTGTTGTTGTTTTGCGAGAACATGAACAACAACAACAACAACAAACCCAAACAACAACAACAACAATTTTTGTTTATTATTTATTTACATGTCAACACTATGTTCTTCAACGTCGTCGTGGTTGTTGTTGTTGTTGTTGTTGTTGAAAAGTTAATTAGACATTATTTAGATAATTTTGCATCTAGATTAGAAAATTATACATGTCTATATCAAACAAAAAATTTTTTTCATTGATCGACATTACACAAGATCATAAACGATTTGATCTTGTTTCTTTCTTTTTGTTCGTTATCTTTTTTTTCTTTGATCAATCATCAATGATAATGATGATGATCATGTTGATCAACACCATATATTAAATGACCATCAAAAAAAAAATTGATGATCGTTTCAAGATAAATAAAATCGGATCTTAAATTGTAATTCAAGGAAGTAATCAATCATGACCTTTACTCATGGCTTTTTTTCACATTGTTCATCTGGGGGATCTGGGATTATTATTCAATAAAATGAAAAAAACAACAACAACAACAACAAATTGGCCATAAATTCAATATACAATGGATTTTTTTGCTCTCAAATACAAAAGTTTTTTTATTGTGAAAAGAAAATAATGCCATTTCGGATCAACCATTTTGGAAACGATTAAACAAATTTGTTCAATTGAAACAATCTGGATTTAATTCAATTACACAAATAGGCAACGGGAAATTTTTCATAATAATAAAATGCACTCATTAGAAATTAGAAATCGGTTTTTTTTATTCGAAATCAAAAATTTATGAAATGAATTGGATTACGATGACGATTATGGTGGTGATTTTCATTTCAAAATCTCAAAATGCACCATTAATAGTGGACAAAAGAGAAGATCATATATTGATTGAAATTATCGATAAAATTCAACGTTATTCACCAGTGGTCTGTTGTGGTAGTCCATCAGAATCAAGACCAACATGTAAACATTATTGTTGTGATAAACCAGACAAAGAAGATAAACCTAAACCAACAACTCATAAACCATTGGACAGCGGTGGAAATTCTAGCCCAAAATCGACTAAAAAGCCACCAATAAATAATGTACCACAGCCATCAACATATGTTGTTTGTTTTTCGTTTGAAAACATTCTGACCATCATTGAATTTCGTCATGATAATCATTTCATACATGATTGTGTTATATTTGATCAAACAATCGAAGAACGTAAACAACAATCACATTATTATATGGAATATTATGCGGCAAAAAATCGAACATTTTTCAGTCATCAAATTGATTTCAATATCATGTTACTAATGATACGATCATGTACAATGAATGCATTCGAACAACAACAACAATTACAAGTCACACACAACACTGGAAACATTAATGTGTATGTAAATCTTAATCCAGTGATAGATGAAATATCGATAAATATTGAAAATTTTGTTAATTGGATACCGCCAAAAACTAAATGGCAAGTTTTTCTTCTGAAGAAAAAAATTTTCATCATTTTCTTTTCTACAGGTGCGGTTTTCATGATATAGCCATTGATTATTGGGATTTGGGTAAAGCATCATCCGTAGATATTTGTTGCCGTGAACATGATCATTGTCCAATACGGATATTGCCAAATGAAAAACAATATGGTATTGATAATGGCGGGAAATTTACATTATCACTTTGTCAATGTGAACAATTATTTTATGATTGTCTTGATCATGAAAGTCATTCATCATATGGACAAGAAATAAAACGAATATATTTTAATCTATTACGATTAAAATGTCTTGAACCTATTGATTGTCAAGCAAAATGGATATATAATAATAATAAATGGGAATTAAAAAATCGTGATAAACCATGTGCAGATAAATTTCGTACGATAAAATTTAAAAATCGCCATAAACTATTTGGTGATCAAAATGACGATGATGGTGGACACAAAGAACGGCCGCAAAAAGGACATGATGATGATGATGATGATAAATTACCAGATCAGAAAAGAAAAACAAATAAACGACGATGGAATAAATGTCGATCAAAAAAATATCCACCATATTTACATACACATACACATCATTTGAGTGTTTCAATAAATCGATCCTAAAGCATCATTGGTGTTGGATTCCTGTTCCTTTTTTGGTTTTTGTTTCCAAATAAAGTATCCAAGAAGAAGATGAAGAAGAAGACAAAAGCGCACGCAATATCATATATCGTGAGTGGAATATATCGAGTGCCAATTATCAATTCAAATGAATTCAATTCAATTCAATTCAATGTGCAATCACGTATGCAAAACAAAAACAAACTTGAAAATTCACAGTGTCAAGGTTGCTGTATTGAATATTTGAATGAAAAAAAAAAAAATTTTTTTTTTACAAAACGAGATAATGGAGATGAATAGAATATCAGAGAGAGAGAGAGAGAGAGAGATGCAACAAGTAGTAGTCTGTCTTCAGAGTGTGTACAATGTTCATTTTCAATTTGTCTTTTTTTTCTTCAATTTCACCATTCCATTGTGTGTGTGTGTGTGTGTCATATATGAACTTTATCATCATCATCATCATCGTAATTGCTGACATGATGAATTGGCCATGCACACACACACACACACACACACACAAACATCAACTTTATTTTTTGGTCAATTAAAAGTGAATCATCAAGTGGTATAGAAAGAGGTGTATAATCATTAAAAATGAATCATCATTATGAAAAACAAGACAAAACAAAACAGATATTGCACCAAAAAAAAAAAAAAAAAAATTACATTTCTCATCCTGAAATCCTAATCTCAATCAAACGAAATTTATGACTTGAAACACTGTGGAGAGGATTATGGATGAATGATGTGAATGTGAATGATTGTTTTGTGGAAAGCAAAAGAAAAACAAATTTGTCTACAAATTGCAACAAAATTTATTTTTTCTCATAGTCTCATCATCATACATTAAAAAAAACAACGACGGAAAAAATTTACAAAATTTTTGGAGTTTTTTTTTCGTCCATAACCAAAACAACCATGTGTCGCACCTATTTTTTTCCACTGTTCTTCATGTACTTTGTGTATATGGAGATGGACAATTTTCAAGAAGTATTAAACACATTTTTGTGGCCCAGTGTGTGTGTATGTGTGTATGATGATGAATGGTCATTGGTAGTTTTTTTTTTGTTGATGCCAGTCATTTTTGTCTTTGTTTGTCTTTTATGGTCAAAGAAAATTTCAACATCCTGTGCACGCGTAGATTATGGTTATGTAAATTAACATTTTGCTTGTGCGTGTGTGTGTGTGTGTGTGTGTGTGTGATGCATGTGATCATCAATTGATTGAGATGTCCAAAAAAAACTAACTAACTGATAACTGAACACGAATTTTTTTTTTATACCGAAATTTTGTTCTCGACCATTCAATGTCGTAGAGAAGAACGAAAAAAATTTAACAAGTATTCGATAAATTGATTGATTTTTTCACTTTGTCTAAAATAAATAAATCATCGTCTATAGGTAATGTATGAATGAGAAAATATTATTGACCTAAATTAATTAAATTTCTCATTCATTTGATTTCCATGTAAACAAATCAAATGTGAATTCAAATCGAATGACATATGATGATAGGAAAAATCGATCGATTATGGAAAAAAATCAATGGTCAAGATCGTAAAAATTTCATTTTTTTTTCGTTTCAAAATTTTCTCATTCACACATGCAATGGGAAAAAAATTCAGAAATGAAATTTATGAAAAACACATGAAAACACAACAAAAGAAAAATAGTCTACTTCCTGAATAGATGTGAAAAAAAAACAATCGAAAATGAAAATTGAAATCATCAAAATTTATGAAAAACAAACAGACCTGAAAAAAAATCTAAATAAAATCAGCGTAGGCGTGTCTCTATAAACATCACCATAAACATAGAAAAAAAAATGTGGCGCTCTAAATTATTATGTTGAACATTGAGAAAATTGATTGATTTTCCAATTGAATTGAATTGATTGAATTTGAGTGTTGAACTTTGTATGTACATATGATGACATTCGATCTTTGTCATCGAAATTGAAATCTATCACGTCGATAAATAAAAATCATGTCGGCCATGTTCACATCATCATATAAACACAAAGACACATAGTGGACAGTGTCCACTGGACACCTGTCATAATCGCATGTCGTCGTCGTCGTCGTCGTCGTCCTAAAGTAAAATGACCTTTAAAAAATCATGATGATGATGATGATGATCGAGAAAAGTGGAAAAAAACCACTTGAATTTTTTCTTTTTTGAAAAATTTTTTTTCAATAATTATTTCGCCAAACAAACAGAGAAACAAAAACAGCTAGCTGAATAGTTTGCGTATTCGTGGTCGATTACAAAAGTAAATCAAATTGGCATTTTTGATTGCAAATGATCAAGGTAACGAAATACGAAATACAAACACACACATACGCACACACACACGCAATCCATTCATCAATGATTGATCGATTTTTTCTCAATCGATTGAATTTTTATTCATCACAGCTAAACTTGATGATTGTTTTTGTTTTGTTTTCGATTTCGATTTCAGAATTAAAAACAAAAACGAAAAAATTTGTTTTGATTTAATCATCATAACCGTTTTGTTCTTTTTTTTCCACTCACCAATTACGCAATTGAAATTGAAAACAAATTAACAGCTACCGCTGTCGAACTACTACTACTACTACGCCCTGTTACTTTTATTAGAAAATTGGATGAACAAGAAAACAAAACAAAACAAAACAAACCAATCATATATTCGTGATGATATTCAATCGATGGTGAAAAAATAACCGTAATGAAATATATTGTCTCTCTAAGGTTCAATGTCTATTAGTAGACTATATTATTAATCTAATGGATGTTTGAATGAAAGACAAAAAACTTTTTTTTTCCCCATTCACCTGTTACATGCATGCAACAATCACCTGTGTATTGAATGGTTCCATTTTGAAAAATTAACAAATCATTTTTCTCAACAACAACAACAACAACAACAACAAGCACACGAATGTCTATTTTATTTATTTATTATCTTCAAAAGAGAAAAGAAACGATGATGATGATGATGGAAACAAGTTGTTCAAGGATTTTTCACATCTTTGGAATAAACGGTCAAAAGAAAAAATGATGCTGATGATGATGATGGAACGCGTGTTTATGAGCCAGCCAATGAGAAAAAAATGTAAAATAACAGAACAACGAAAACGAAACCATAGACATTTTTTTTATGTAATAATAATCTACAAGTCTAATTATGGATTTATGGATATATGTATATCAGATATATATCGATTTATTTATTTGATTCATTAATAATCAATTCACGAATTCAATTCTTTTTTTTCACCATTGTTTGAAAATGTTTTCAATGTCAACCATATCAATGTTTTGGCAATCAATCATCACACAAATGCGCATAAACATGATGATGATGATGATGAAAATGAAAAAAAAAAAAATCATGGATGAATAATTTTCAAATGTTGAAGAACAAAATCAATCATCAACTCAAGTTAAAAAAAAAGTAAAATTAAAAAGAAAACAAAACATTCAAAAATCTTACTTTTTCACATGATGAACATTGAAAAGTTTTCCGGTGCAGCATCAGTTATGGTCAAACTGAATCTAATCTCAAACAAGAAATCTTGTCCCGAAAAAAAATGAAGAAAATCAAATTTGACAATTTTCAAAAACAAAAAAAAAAAAAAAAATCTTAACCACAGATGGTCAAAAGTTGAAAAGCAAGATAATCGCTTGATGGAAAGACAGAAAGATTATGATGTTGATGATGAGCAACAGATTTGAATAATAAACATTTGATGATGATGATAATCAGTGATAAGTTAAACAAAACGAAAAAAAAAAAAAAAAAAATCCACTGCAAGTTTTTTTTTCAAGAACACAAAGTTCCAATTGGAACAACAACAACACCAACACACAACAAACACTTGGAGCCACACATGATCACAAAATAATAATGATGAAAAAAAATTTCAATTTATCGTGTGTGTGTCATACATTCATACTGGTCATATTTGCAGCAACATGATTTTTCAAACGTCCATTTCAATGTTCATATATGAAAACATTTTCATCACATCGTCGTCATTGCCATCGAATGAATGAAGAAACAGCCAACAAGAAAAAGTTTTCTTGTTTTTTTTTTCAGAGAGAAAGTCGTCGTCTATTCACTGTTATACCTGTTGTTGCAAGTACGTTATTTTTCTCGTGTTTCCAAGGCAATTCACCGTGTTGGATTCATCATTTGCACCACACACACACATACACAAAACACTGAGAAAAAAGAAAAGAAAATTTCTCTTTTTCTCATCGAAATCTAAACTCATACAAGTAGAGAGAGAGAGAGAGAATGGGAGAATGGAACAGAACAGAAAAATTCAGAAATGAAAATGAAATCCAATTTTTTTTATTTATTTATTCATTGATAATAATCTGATTAAGATTATTAACCAGGTTACCATTGTAACAAAAAGAAAAAAATGTGTGTGTGAGTGGAAGATAATTTGTAATTTGTTTCTTCATAACTACTATAAGTTCGTGTGTAAGTGACAGGATGAATTATGATTATATATCAAATTAGATTGAATAACATATAAAGTTTTTATCAATTTGTATATCTGTGCATATGGTATGTGTGAGGATTATATGAAAACAAAAACAAACAAACAAAAATGGGTTGAGTATAACGACGAATGAATCAACGATAAATGAAACAAAAACAAGATAAGGACCAGATTCATTCATCAGTAGTAGATGAAAAGTATTTTGAGAATCAAATGAATTTCGAAAATAAAGACTGATGGTGAATGTTTTTTTACGAACAGCTACCAAGAATGAAATTTTCAATTTCTGTATTGATATCAACTTCACCATCCAAGAGGTAACATTCATGACGATCATTATCAATAACATTCAAAGGTATGATAATCAATTCTTTATCTTTGGATATGGATTCAAAAAATGAGGTTTCAGCAAGTGACCAGAATTCTGATTTTGGTGATACACCTATATACACACAACAAAAAAACCAGTCAAATTCAATTCCAAATTAATTTTACATTTTATTTATAATACCTGATAATGCAGCTTTAAATGAACGTGCTGGATAATTTTTGAAACGATTATCAAGTTTAAAGATTTGATCCGTATTAATTGGCGTTAAAAGGCCATGATCAAGAAAAAAACATTGACTGGATGATTGATCGGAATGATTAACCACCTGAATTCTAGACCATCGATGAGGTTCAACAGGATTTTTGGCAACACCGTAACGATTATTTTCAATCGAAGTGGCATTAAAATCAATCAATTGAAATCGATGTTTTTCATTTTCATAAAATTGATCAAGTTTTTCTTCAAATTCTTTGAAAGTGGCAACAATTTTTGGATTATTTTTGATCAAATAAAAATTACATGGAGTACTGATTTCGCCAATGATTACGTCATCGCCAAGATCAATATTCACTTGTGGAATTTCAACATTATCATCAAAATCTAATTGTTTTTCAGTAGGATTATTGTTGTTGTCATCAATATTATTATTATTGTTATTGGATCCATAAAGTTGATCAATAATTTCTTTCGGATCAATAGAATTTGAGCGGCCATAATTTAATGTTATTGAACATTGGCGATTAACATTAGTCGAATTTCGGTATTGTTTTTTATCACGTATATCATCGATGATTTTGGAAATTTCATCTGAACGCATTTGTTGATAATAAATTTCCATTTTTGATAAATTTTTTTAAATTAATAAATTCAAAAATCAATAATGAAACAAAACAGAAAAAAAGGTAACAATTGAAAATTAACAAACACACACACAAAGAGAGCACAGACACATACACTCAGAAAAGTTGAAATGCTCACACACCACGGAAACCACCAGACAATTTATACGCGGTGGCGTTGCTATCTAAATTTCGAATTTTCATAAAAACCGTGATGTGGCTGTTGTTGTTTGCTCGAATTTTCGTTCGATTGACATCAATTAAAAAAATGAGAACTTGAATCAAATCAAGTCATCGAAATAAAATCTAATCTGATGATTTGATGGTGTTTTTTTTTTTGATTCCACCTCAATGGTAAGTTGTTGATGAAAAAATTTTCAGATTTCTAAGCAGTAAATTTTATCGCGTCAATAGTGAATTTTTGATTATGCTGGCAATGTCATTGATTCTGTTGGCAATTGAATGTCTTGTCGTTGATCATAATTATCATCATCATTTGGATTTGGATGTTGATGTCGTTGTTGATGATGATGGATGAAACCGTGAAATAATTCCATTGGAATCTTATAATGAAGAATGAATTATTAATTGAATCAATTTGAGTATTCAAAACAAAAATACCGGAAAAACGATAGTCGAATTCTTTTCACCAGCAATCGAACTCAATGTCTGCAAATAACGAAGCTGTAATGCGGCTGGACTATCCATCATAATATCTGCTGCTTGTTTCAATGCCTTTGAAGCTCGTTGTTCGCCTTCAGCTGCAATAACTTTGGCTCTTGCTTCACGTGCCGCTTCTGCTTCGGCTGCCATTGCACGTTGTAATTGAACCGGTAATCGTACATCTTTGATTTCAACACGTTCAACTTTAACACCCCAAGGATCGGTAGCTTCATCCAATGAACTTTGCATTATATGAGAAATTGATTCACGTTCACTTAAAATTTGTGATAAATCTTTGGTACCTGTTCAACAAGTATTAGGTTGGTAAACGATCAAAATATCAAAATTTGTTTAATTACCCAAAACATTTCTCAATGTTGTTGCAGCCAATAATCGAGTTGAACGTCCATAATCTTCGACATTCGAAACAGCCACAGTAGCATTACTGATACGAAAATAGACTACGGCATCCACTGAAACAGTAACCGAATCGCGGGATAAAATCTATGAGAAAAACAAATTAATGATCATCAATTTTTAATGATTACGATTCAATGATATCTTACCTCTTGTGGTGGTACATCAAACGATACTGTTCGAAGATCAACTTTTCGATACGAATCAATACAGGGAATGATGAAAAAAATACCCGGTCCTTTTGAACCAGAACCTTTTGATAAACGTCCTAAACGAAATATGACAGCACGTTCATATTCTTGTACAACTTTTATGCATAAAAACAATGAAAATGGTAATGTAATGGCAATCATTATGATTGAAATGATTGTCAATAGAAATGCACACATTCCTGGATTGGCACCAATGGTTCCTGTTTTTTTTGAGGTAATTAAATTAGAACAAAAAACAACAATTTAGAACAAAAATAATTTTTAAGAATTAATTTCAATCGAATATTTATTTGTTCGTTTTTAGACCACAATTCGATTTGTTGTTTCCAATCGAGATCGAAATGGAACCAAAAGATCGTCTTATGGCCGAAACTGAGAATAATAATAACGATGATGATGATGTAAAGAATGAACAACGTTTTTTATCAATCAAATCACGATTATCGCTACATCCATTAGAACATTGTTGGGTATTTTGGCATTATAGACGTGCTAGAAGACGTTCGACAAAAAAATGGATGGATTGTCAACGAACATTGGTTGAAATCGATACTATTGAATCATTTTGGATGTTTTTTGCCAAACAACGTAGTCCATCAATGGTACGAATTAATCAAGATTATGCACTTTTCAAGAAAGGTATCAAACCAATGTGGGAAGATCCGGCCAATATGAATGGTGGACAATGGATTTTTATATTACAAAAATCTCAAGATAATTATGATTCAGTTATTAATGAAATTTGGTATAAAATTATTATGGCAATGTTAGGATCGATATTTAAACCGGAAATTATGGATCAAATATGTGGTATTGTATTTTCTATGAGAATTTCATGTTTTACAAAAATTTCTATATGGGTCAATGATTATCGTGCCATCAAACAGATATTGATACTCGGTAATGAACTTAAACGTTTAACTAAATTTAATGATTGTATTGTATTTCGTCGTAATGATAATATGCAAACTAAATTCATTTTATGAAATTAAAATAAAAAATTTACAAATTCTTTCAATTACCTGATATTGCTGAATTAACATTAGCTCTCCAAAGCTGTTTACGATCTTCAACATTACCATTAAAACCTGATGGCTGATGATGAACATGAATTGTTGTCGATGATGATGATGATGATAATGGTGGTTGCCGTTCAACCATGGTGGCCATTGGCATTGGATTTAAATCTTCTGTATGAAATAAATGTTCTGGTGGTGGTTCTAATTTCGGTAATGGTCTTTGTAGAATTTCCTGTGAATAATCACGATATAAATCTGAAGACATTTTTTTCCCAATGATATATGAAACAAACGAAATCTTTTTTTTTCACGCATATATGCAATTTGTTCATAGTTGATAATAATTAATCGATGTTTATAACAAGAATGTTTCGCATATATTTCATTCTCGTCATTACTACTTTTCTTGTACACTTAGCATGTGTGTGTGTGTGTGTGTGTGTTTATGTGTGCTTGTTTTTGATTCTTGTTGCCAGGAATCGATTCTCTCGATTTTAAATAACAAAAACAGTAAGAGAGAATAAAAATTGTTCGACACACACACACACTCAATCAAACAGCAACCAATTCATATGTGTGATAAACGTTTTTTGTTGTAGACATTTACAATCAATTAATAACATCGTTTAAAATAATAAAAACAAAAATTGAAACAAAATTATATCCACGTTGTTGATCAAAACACAAGAATGGTTTTGAAAAACTTGATCATTTGAAACAAATATAATACCGACCGACCGACTTTTAAATAGAATGTACATATGGATATAAATATCAACACATCAAACAAGCAGTAGATCATCGCACATTTTCATCTTTATAACACCCACCAACTTTTCTATGGCTTGTTTTCTTTCTCTCTCTCTCGTCTTTTTTTTGTTATTATTGTATCAAGAGATTCTTTTGATTTTTCCGAATTTTTTTTTTTTATTTTATTTTTGGTCTCGTTCTATTTGCTGCATTCAACTATATAAATGAATGATATTACAGTATATCAATATATGTGAAATATGAAAATTTTTTTTTTTTTTACATTTTTGTTGGCTGAGTGACTTGTGTGTGTGGAATGGAAACGATGATGATGATGATGATGATGATATCTTCAAAGTTGAAAACAACAGAGAATTTAATTGAGATGGATGAACAAATGAACAGAATAGAAGAAAAAAAAAACTAGAACATTCATATTCCACGCAAATTATAATAAAGAGGCGAATTGGTGTGTGTGCGTGTGTGGATTAAATTTAGAATTTTGACCTTTTTCCGATCCATCATTATCATCATCATCATCATCATATCATCAGCTATCTAATGGATAGAATTCTAATAATTTTTCGAAATATTCAAATCTGACAAGTAGAATGATAAATGATGAATTATTCTTGAATAAAAATCCATAAATCTTTGATTTTAAATTCAAATTCTTGATGAATTCAAAATCATATAAATCTTTTTTCTTTCGTTGAATACATGCTTTATGGATAGACCTTTTTAAAAGTCACATGTTTTGTTTTGTTTTTGAAGAACAATTTTATTATGTAAACAAAGCAAATTTATCCAAAAAAAATCGATGAATTTTTCGAATAAAGTAAGCAAAATTATAGAGTATTGTATTCGATTTATTTATCATTTAAAAACAAGATTTTCAGATTACATAATTTTGCAAAATGGCATCCATCATCATCATCATCCAACGCGACCAATTCGAATCATTCAACATTGTCGTTTGTTACATCAGACATCGCATAATAATAATGATAACATCTTTCAAACGAAACGAAAAAAGTCAAATAGAACTCCAGCCGATGATCTAGGAGAATGGATTCCAATCTATAGATTTCCATATATTGTGCCATGTAGAATAATTTCACGTGCAAAACTTCATATGACCATAATGATGACAACCATTTTACCAGCTAGTTATTTTATTGGTGCAGGTTAATAATCTATCATTGGAAATTATTTCATCATAATCTAACGATCTTTTGAATTTATTCTAGAATCATACAATACATCAGATTTGATGATGATGACCGGTATATCAGCATTTTCTTTGACATTATTATATGGATTTGGACAAATTTTTCGTCGTCTAATTGGCTCCATCTATGTATCGCCGGAAAAAAATCTTGTTCGAATATCACATCTAACATTTTTTGGTAATCGTGTTGAAAAGATTCTTCCACGTGATAATTTATTACTATTATCCGATTCGAATGCGAATCTAAACGACTTGTTATTACGTGTTTCACCAATGGATCAAAATGAATTGAAAGATTCATTGTACATATGTTTAAAATATGGTGGCATTTTAGATGTTGAAAAATTTGCCAATGTTTTCGGCACCATTTGATTGATTAAAATTGGATCAATACCAATACACATTTGTATATTGAATAAAGAGATTTTCATTTCATGTAACCATTTGGGTTTTTTTTCCTACTGATCTGATCCGATCCGATCATCCAATAGAATTAGAATACAATAGATTCTGTCATGTTAAAAATAAAAATAAAAAAAAATTCTTCATTTAAGATTTATTAGGTCATAACATTGCCGTCTGATTTTTAAAAACCATCACATTAAATCATTGGTATTGATTATTCACGATGATGATGATGATGATGATGATGATATAACCAGGGTAAACAAAATTTCAACAACAACAACAACAAGAAAAAACGTAAAGCGCGAATTTTTTTTCTCTCTCTCTCGGTTAATATAAACACACACACACACACAGACAAACACATGGAAAGAATTTAAACCATAAACATTGTGAGAAGGCAATAATACAATGCGATTTGATTTTTTTTTTTTTTTTCGTTTCACGAATAAATTCATTGAAAAGAAGAAATAAATATTTTTATAAATTTAAATGTATTCCAGACTTATATAAGTGCATCAAAATTGATTCTGTTGTCATGTTCAGATTTTTCTACAAATTTTTTTTTTTTTTTGACGTAATATTAAAAACGTTCATCGTTTGATGATTGATTTGATTTGTCGAATAATTTTTTTTTGTTTCATAAACAATAATTTTTTTTTCGCCCCAGTGAGAATTTTTGCAAAAACAAAAATGAATTTATCCAAATTCATATGATCATTGCAGATCATTTTATTCCGAGAATTAATGTATTGAACATTTAGTGGATGAAAACAACAGAATTTTTCAACGAAAGAAAAAAAAATGGAATTATCCGATCAACAACAGCAACAAACACCAGTGACCATTGATGATAATGTTGTTGAAATTGTTGTTGATGATCAACAACAACAACAACAACAACAACAATCGTCGTTTCGTATTAATCCAACGACAACAGTGAAAACTGTATATAATCAGCCAACAACACCGATTATTAAACAACAACAACAGGCGATTAATCGAAAATCATTGAATAAACGGCCAACACCACCATTACCTGTGGAATTGATACGGCCACCAATTGTTAATCATCATATGGAAGAAATCATTACAAGTATGTGGAATCAATTATTTTGCTATTTTTTCAATTTGATTTGATCGATTTTGCCTGCACCAAATTTCTATTTTTCATTCATAATAATAATTCTTGGTATCTACCAAGGCCAACAACAAAAAAAAAATCGATATCCACATGTTTCAAATCAAGCAATCCTCGTTTTTTTTTTTTGATTCCGATGAGCATAGGAATATTCTGTTTTCTATTCACTGTTTTATTTATTTAGCCGTTCATGGTAACGATAAAGATCAAACAATGTTCATTCACATTTTCTATAATATGGATGATGATGATGATGATGATTCAAATTTCAATTCAAATTCTATATTCTTAGATTATTATTATGCAATATATATATAGTCATATGATATATAAATGGCAAAAAAAATTAGACGACAAACAAAAACAAGACGACGATGTCGATTTTTTTGTTCTCTCTCATATTTTTTCAATTTAGAATATATCAAAATTATCTACCATCACTCATACACACACACACACACACACACAAGTAGTAAATATATGACGGAAGCGGTATGAAAAACAACGACAACGACAACGACGACGACAATGATGATGATGATGATGATGGTTATGATTATGAGTTTGATAATGATAATCATCATGTGTAACGGTGGTTACCACAACAAGAACCATGAATGAGAATAAAATGTGAACGTTGTTGTTGTTGTTGTTGTTGTTTTGTTGTTTTTTTTTTCATTCATTACTTTGCATTGAAAATAATGTATACAACGATGATGGGGTCGTCTTAACAGAAAATGAAAATTTAGCGAAAAAAAATACTCAAGTTTTTTTTTTTGTGGGAGTTTTTTCCATTTTTTTCCATTTTTGATTTACATGTTGGTTGGTTTGTGGTTGTTTTTTTTTTTTTTTTTCCCCTACATATAAATATAAAAACACTACACACAGGGTATGAGAATTCATTGACTGATGAATGTGTGTTTTATTCTGATTCTGATTCGATTCAAAAATTTTCATAGTGTTGGTATTCAGTTTTTTTTTACATTTTAATTACTAACTAATTATAATGGAAAAAGAATTTTCTACTACTTATAATGATGAACAACAGCAATCAACTTTTGCCGGTAGTGTTGTTGTTAATAATGATAATGAAATGATTGAAATTACTACTAAACGACCAATTTCATCACCACCATCATCATCGACGATAAAACAATCAACATCAATTCAAATGTTACCACCGCCACCACCACCGCTGCCGCCACCAGTGTTATCATCATCATCACAATCACAGCGACAACCACAACTTCAATCAATCGATGATTGTACATTGAGAGCAGATGATTGTTATTCAGCGGCTAATTCATCGAAAAAAACTAGTACTGTGGCCAGTACTGGCTATCTATTAGCAAGTTGTAAGCATGATTGAAAAATTTTTTCTTTTTTTCTTTCAAAATTAGAATTAGAATCTGATTTTTTTAAATATATGTCAAATGTTGAATACACTTGATGATTTGACAGAAAGAAATGAGAATCAAATTTCAAACACAAACACCGTTCTGTTTCTACAAAAGTGTAAAAAAAAAAAATTTTTTCATTTCAAATTCTTGTTTTTCAAATTCAGATCCTTTTCATTTTTTGTTTTGTTTATAAAGTTGTGGTGATGTGTGTGTGTGATTTTTTGCACCTCTGTCGAAAATCAAGAATCAAGAATCAAGCTATTAGAATCAAACGTGAAAAAAATGCCAAATATCATCATGTCATGTCATGTCTGTCGTCGTCGAATCAAAACAACAACAACAACAACAACAACAAAAACATTGATGATGAAAGAATATATTGATGGTGGTAAACGCAAGGAAGAAAAAAAAAGTCAAACACATGAAATTAAATTCCATTTAAAATGAAAATTAACACACACACACACAAGAGCTGAGTCATCAAGAATCAAGAATCAAGAAGCTTAATTTAATTTTTTTCAGTTACATGAATAAATGTGGATGTTTTATTTTTTTGATAATAAAAAAAATCAGGATGCTGATAATGATGATGATGATGATGAAAACCTTGATAAAATCATCACCATCATCATCATAAAATGAAATGGCCAAATTAGATTGCCATAGCTAAATGTAATGGAGATGGAAATTTGGCAAAGTGAAACCATAGGTTTTTTTTTTGTTTCAACAACAATTCCAAGTTGAAAATGAAAATGACAAAATAAAACGGACAAAAAGATTTGATTGTGTATCTGAATTTATCTGAAAAAAAAGACGAGAAAAAAAAATTGGAAATCCTTCAAAATCAAGACTATGGTGTATACAGCAAGACAGATAGAAAAACTATTGACGAAGCATTATTTTTCTTTGTGTATAAGTGTGTGTGTGTGTGCACAATTGCATCAAAGAATCTAATTTCAACCAAAAAAAAAAAAAAAAAAAAAATCAAACTCAAGAAAAACTCATCACTATTCGTGAGTGAATGAATGAGGATTGAACAGAAAAAATCAAAAACTAGCAAATAGTGAAAAATTCTATTTCTAAATTTAAATTTTTCCTTTCTTCATTCCTGTAATAATAAAGAATATTGTGTTGTGTGTGTGTGTATGTGTGTTATTCACACGATATTCTTTGATTCTTTACCATATAATTTAAATTGGGTAACAAGAATAAACACACACACACACACACAATTAATGCTGATTTGATGATGATGATTATTATCAGACGAAACTTTTTATTCAACACACACACACATTCAGCTTGTTATCTATGATTTCATTTCATTTTTTTTTTTTTTTGGTTTTCTCCGTCTTCTTTTTTTTTACTTTCAGCCAACCAGATATCCATTATATAGAATCATCATCATCTTGTTTTGTTTGGTTTGTAGATGTGCTGCTCATATATATATATATATATGTTTCGTGATGTATTTCATCTAAAATGTTCACTATAGCTACAAATGATAACAAAAAGATTAAAAAAAAACCAGAACAAGGCAAAATGTTTGGTTTTTTTTGATTCATTCTATTTTCATCATTTCATTATTAATCAATTGCAATGATGATGATGATGATGATGATAATCATTGACCAAACACACGCACACAAACACATCACTGTTGGATAGCAACATCAGAAAAAATAAAACAAAATTTCATCAATTGTAAATCTTAATCTTGTGATGATTAATTTATGAGTCATAACAATTGTTTTATATATGGTGATTATGATGATGATGATAATTTACAATACTTGATTGTGATCCATGACATCATCGAAATCCAAATGCTGATAAATTTTTTTTTTTACTATAAATATCGTTTATGTTGATGATTTTTTTTTATCTGGTTTTTTGTCTATAGTCAAACACGTGGGTGTTTTTGTTGTTTTGTTTTGTTTCTATTTTTACTGTGTTCATATAATATAATAAACAGAAAAATTCATAATTCATATTCATACGTCATCAAGTTTTGATGATTAATATCTTTTTTTGATTATTAAATTCATCATCAACAACAACAAACATCATCATCATCATCATTATGTCAAGCGGTGATACTGATAAAAGTTCACTGACGGCTGTCAGAATGTCCTGTGATGAACAAGGTTTTTTTTTGTTGTTTTGTCTTGTTTTCGTTTTCTTTCTTTCTTTTTATGTCATTAACCGATTCATTATCATTATACATCATAATCATATCATTTAGCATCCATCCATCTATTTTCATATTTAATGATGATGATAAAATCTTTTCATTTTTTTTTCTTTAATTTTTTTTTCTCTTCATCCGATTTTTCATAGCTAATGTTAGCGAAAGTTCTGGTTTCTGTGCATTCGCATTAACTGTCATATCGGTTATATTGATCGTTTGTACATTACCATTTTCATTATTTCTATGTATTAAAGTTGTACAAGAATATGAACGTGCCGTAATATTTCGTCTTGGACGTTTAGTTCGTGGTGGCGCAAAAGGTCCGGGTATTTTTTTCATCATTCCTTGTATTGATTCTTATTGTAAAGTTGATCTTCGAACAGTATCGTTTGATGTACCACCACAAGAGGTAAGATATCATTGAATCGTTAATTATTAATAAATTGATGATCATTAATCTGTTTTCCTTATAGATTTTATCACGAGATTCAGTGACTGTTTCAGTGGATGCTGTAGTTTATTTTCGTATCAGTAATGCCACTGTGGCTGTTTCGAATGTCGAAGATTATGGACGTTCAACTCGATTATTGGCTGCAACAACATTGAGAAATGTTTTGGGTAATTAAACAAATTTTGATATTGATATTTTGATCGTTTACCAACCTAATACTTGTTGAACAGGTACCAAAGATTTATCACAAATTTTAAGTGAACGTGAATCAATTTCTCATATAATGCAAAGTTCATTGGATGAAGCTACCGATCCTTGGGGTGTTAAAGTTGAACGTGTTGAAATTAAAGACGTACGATTACCGGTTCAATTACAACGTGCAATGGCAGCTGAAGCAGAAGCGGCACGTGAAGCCAGAGCCAAAGTTATTGCAGCTGAAGGTGAACAACGAGCATCACAAGCATTAAGACAAGCAGCTGAAGTTATGTCACATAATCCAGCTGCATTACAGCTACGTTATTTGCAAACATTAAGTTCAATAGCAGCGGAAAAGAATTCAACAATCGTTTTTCCGGTAATTTAATTTTTTCCTTTTCAACATTGTTCAATACAAACTAAACTAAACTAAACTTTATTTTTTTACGAATAATTTTAGATACCATTGGAACTATTCAAGGGTATGATCAAGGAATAAAATTGATGCATATGCATGTGTGTCCATTATTCATTCGTATAACTTAACAACACAATAATGACCAACAAATAATCTGCTTATTTAAATTTTCAAAAATTTGACCAATAATAAGCTTTTGCTTGCAAAAAATAACGCCATCTGGTGTGATTGAAAAAACTCACAATTTGTTTTTTTTTTCTCTCATTCATCATCATCTATATATAGCACTATTACCACCAATGAAAATATTGAGAAAAAATGATCCAGATGAACAACAACAACAAAATACTGAATGTCAAGTTTGATTGATTGATTGATTGATTCATCATCAAACAAAAGAATGAAAAAAAATCAATAAAAAAAACTACACATGAATGGAATGAATGATTTTTACTGATTTGAATTATGCATTGATTTCGTGTGTATGTGGGTGTGTGTTTTTTATTTTGGTTTTCATATTAATTTCAATTCTTCCAAAATAAAGATTTGAAATATTTTCATAAGATTATTAATGGTAGGATGATGAAGATTACGACCATCATCACCTTCTAGATGCCAATTCAATGGGAATGGTGTCGAAATGATATGTAGAATTTTGACGCCCAATTTTTGAAACGGAACATGATCATCTTCAATTTCGGATGTAGAAAATGAACATCGGGAAAAATAATTTGTACCACTTGATCGACGTGTTTCCAACAATTTCATACGATTCAATTTTCGTTCAATTCTTTCTAAATGATCAAACATTTTTTGTGTAGAACGATAAAATGAACAAAACCGTGGACTTGATTCGCCGATCAAATCCAATAGAATTAATACTTGTATTCGATCCAATTCGGTATCAACACCTCTTGGACATAAATTGGATCGAGAAGATAGTGAATTCAAACGTGCAGCCAGATGTCGTGATCCATAAAGGGAATCATCTTGCGACCAACGATGGAATGCTTCTTCACCATCAAACATAATCACTTGCAGTGTGACATCATCATTCTATTCGTGGCAAAAAAAAGTCTATTAAATAAAACTAAAGTCAATTAATCATCTGATGATTTTACCAAAGATTTATGTCGTTTCAACTCCTTGTTCAGTTTACGAATCAATTCCAAAATCATTGTACAAGGTACAGCTGAATCGGTTGCACCAAGAAAATCGAAATCAGCAAAATATTTCGAATCATAATGACAAGCCAATACTATTCGTTTACAAGCTTGTGGATTCAAAGTGGCCACAATATTTGTGAATTTTTTCCTTCCAATCGGTGTATTTGTTTCAAATTCATCTTGTTCCACCAGCCATTCTAGATTATTCAGATAATCAACAATAAACTATTGATTGAAAGAAAAAAAAATTTGATTCAAATTACAGAATAAAAACATAGTCAATTCAAATTACATTTTTAACAATAGCATGACTAGGAGTATCGGCAACTCTTGGTACCAGGATTCGTTCCAATGTTTGATTGAACCTTTGCATATCATCATTATTCAATAAAGCCCATTGTTTTAATTTCTGGCCAGCTTGGCTTTCACCTTGGGTCTATATATTTAGGAAGAAGAAAAATGTCAAATAAAAACGACTACTACAAAGTGAAAATCAAAACCTTTTTATCACGTTTCGACGACGAAGATGATGATGACAACACAACAAGATTATATAATGATAATGTTAGAAATATAGAAATTACTACTATTAAAATTAATAAAACGGGATTTATTCGACGAGATAAAACCATTTTTATGCGTTTTTTTCATCGAAATTTGTCAAAAAATAAAATCACATGGAATTCATTTTATCACATTATGGATAGATTTTGAGCAATCATGAATATTGTTGTTCATTCCATAACAAATAGAAACTTTTAAAAAAACTTGAAAATCCTAAGAATTGATTTTCGAAAAAAAATAAAATCGAATGTTTACAAACATTGGAAAAAAAATTGACGACGTGGTTGTTTTTTTTTTTTTTTTTGATTTTTTCATTATAATTCAATCATCATTCATAAAGGACGTAATCGAATAAGTTTTGGCATTTTTTTTTGTTTGAATTTCATTTCCTTTATTTTCATTATTAATGTTGATGTTAAACTTACCATTTGCCGAAATAAAGATGTAACCGTTGTGATTGGATTACGATTTCGTATAGATCTACCATTCGGTTGATTAAATTGTCCACAATTTTCATCAATTAATTGTAGAAAAATTAATAAATTCAATAATAACCAAAATGACGCCATCGTTTGGAATAATAAAATGACCTGAATGGTTATATAGCTGCAAATTGAAAAAGTTTTCTAATCACAATTACAATAAACTGGTTTTCTGGTTCAAAATTTGAACTCAATCTTTATGAAGACGAAAAAGAAGAAGAAGAAGAAGAAGAATAGTCAATGCCCGAATGCGGATCGAATCGATTGGTCGTAGTTGTGGTTGTTGTTGTTTGAACTAGATGTTTATATCAATGAATGAAAAAAAACTGTTTAAAACGGAAAAAAATTGACTGATGATGACCATATAGCAAGTTGATAATCATCATCAGTCAATTTACTCTTTTTTTGTCGAGAAAAAATCACAAATTCAAATAACAAAAAGTCATAAACATCATCATCATCATTTTTCATGGTTTATAAATGAAGGTGAATCTTTTTTTATTTATTCACAGATTTTATCTTGAATTTGATGTTTTGTTAATATTTAAACGCATCACTTTTTTCGTTTAAACATGTGTGTGTGTGTGTGTGTGCGTGTGCATGTGTTATTTAAAATATCACGAAACATTCATCATCATCATCATCATTTGAAATTCACCGATACAAATACATTATTCATATGCTAGTTCAAGTTGGATGTTTCAAACAAAATGAAATCAAAATTCTGTCGATAGCGATGCATGCATGATTGTTTTATATAATCAAAAACAAAACAAAAAAAAAATTCAATCTATTCGGTTCAAACCATTTACGTCATACGATGCCATTTTTATTTTCAGAATTTTGTTCATTATTATAAACATATATTGAAAGGGTTAATAGTAATAATAATTAACGCACCACCCCCCCACACACACACACAAACGCACACACACCCCCTATACAATGAAAAAATTATCTGTCAATTAATCATGACCAAAATTAATTAAAACAAATGAGAAAAACTTTTTTTTTTTTTTAATTTTTATTTCTCTCTACATGATATCAATCTATTTGTTTCAATTAACGCATTCAATTTAGATTTACTACATCAGAACAAACAACAACAACAACAAAAAATTCTGATTCTGATTCTGATAAAAATTCTATTTTTATCTCATCGATGCTGTGCATTTGATGCTATACATATCGGATAGAATGATTTCGATGAATTCTAAAATGGGATTTTCCAAAAAAAAAAAATCAACACTTTTTAAATGGAAAAAAATTGACTGTTTTTCATATTTAAAAATTTTTTTCCATTGTAAACTATTGCGGAAATTCGTTGTACACACGCATACAAAAAATAAATTCAATTTTGCGCATATTCTCATCATCATCTTCATCATCATCATCATATATGATATCATTGTGTATCTGATTTCCTCATTTTCATTGCCTTTCATTATATCCATTTTAGATATATCTGGCTATAATAAAATGAAAAATAAATGTCTCTTTGCGTTTGCGTTTGTGTGTGTATGCGCGATAAGAGGTAAACGAACTAGTAGCATTATCCAAAGAGATTTTTATCAAATAGCAACACAATATACCATACCATTATATATATATTTAAGCCGGAATTGGTTAACCTTGAAGAAAAATAAAACAAAAAAAAAAAAAAAATTAAAGCGACAAACATTAGAAAGCATGATGCATGATTGAAAAAAAAATCGTATGCTCAAAAGAACACTAGACAGAATTTGTCAAAATCATCATCATCATCATTATCACAATTGACTATCGTTTTATTTTTCATGAGAGAGAAATGATAAAAAAACATTACCAAAAGGTATGTATGATTTGTATTTTAGCCAAATGATGACTGCTGTTTTTATGTTTTTCATTTTTCATTTAGAATTTAGAATTTATCAATTTGTCAATGTGATGAATGATTTGTATGTGAACAAGGAACAAGGTAAATTGAATCTAAACATCAATTCTTATCAACATCATTGAAAAAAAAAATTGATGAGAAAAAAAAAATTTTCAGAACTTTGTTTGATGACGTAAATGATAGTTTGGTATTTATTTTATATTTTATAATAATTGGTGGGTTTTTTTTTCATTGTTGCATTATCAACCAGTGTGTAGTCAACCAACACCAATAGGAAAAAAAACGTCATCGTTGACCACTTATTTTGTTGATATTGAGATATTAAAATAATTATCAATTTGTCAATGTGATGAATGATTTGTATGTGAACAAGGAACAAGGTAAATTGAATCTAAACATCAATTCTTATCAACATCATTGAAAAAAAAAATTCTGATGAGAAAAAAAAAAAATTTTCAGAACTTTGTTTGATGACGTAAATGATAGTTTGGTATTTATTTTATATTTTATAATAATTGGTGGGTTTTTTTTTCATTGTTGCATTATCAACCAGTGTGTAGTCAACCAACACCAATAGGAAAAAAAAACGTCATCGTTGACCACTTATTTTGTTGATATTGAGATATTAAAATAATAATAATACAAAAACGGAAAAAAATTTCCTCTCAATTTTAAATTTTGTCAATTTTTTTTTTGTTTATGAAATGAATCAATATAATAACTAGAAATTTCGACAAAAATTCCCCTGAACAAGTTTTGTTTGATTTCAATTGAAGCCAAAAAAAAAAAAAAAAAACATATCAATTTCAATTTTTGTCGTCAGAAAAACCATCATCATTCTAGTTATTTTTTTTTTTTTTGCAAATTCATCAAATTTATTATTCAGTTTCAAGTTGCTATCAATCCAATCGATATATGAACTCTAATCATTGATTGATTCCATTTCAATTTTTTTTTCATTATTCAAATAGCTAAAAAAGGCACAATTTGTTTAATCATTGCGTGTGGTCGTGCATGTGTGTTTGATTTTTTTGTTTTATTAGAAACAAAGTGTGAAAAGTTTTTTTTTACTCATTTTGAAGCAAAAAAAAAAAAATTGTGGCACCAAACAAACAACCAATCAAAAATGAATGATTGATTGAATAATAATCGAACCATTTTATAAAATTGCACCAGTATATATTGTGTACACTGTACACACACACACACAAAAAAAACGCAAAGAGATAAAATACTACCATAGTGAATATTATAGCCAATTAAACTTGAACCTCGTGGCTTTTTTTTGTTGTTGTTGTTGTTGGTTGATTACCAGATCACGCCATTTCTATGGTGCATTTTTTTTTACTGTTTTGTGCCAATATTTATATAAATGAAACAAGTTTTTTTTCCGTTTTTTTTTCTCATCATCATTTAAACACACACACACTAAATATATACATTGTTAATAGTTGCAACGTGTTAATTAATCGTGTGATTTGTTTTTTTTTTTTTATAGAGATTTTCAAATTTTCATTCTCATTCACAATCAAATCATCATCGAATCATTCAATTTCAAATTTTTCCTGTGTCAATACAACACTATAATTTGTGGAGAAAAATTAACCATGATCAAGATGGACACATTTCGTATGATTCCATTTGAAGCAACGAATCCTTTATCGCCTAATTATAGTTATGTTTTCAATTTTGAAAATGAATTCCGTTATCATAAACGTGTGGCATGGATGCGTGAACATTGGACCGATTCATTCTATTGGACCATTATTTATTTATCGTTTATATTTTTTGGCCGCATTTATATGGAATCAAGACCAAAACCATTTCGTTTAAAATGGCCATTAATTTTATGGAATTTAATGTTGGCCACATTCTCCATTATGGGCACTATTCGTGTATGGCCAGAAATGATGCATGTATTACGAAATTATGGTTTCTATCATTCAGTCTGTTCTAATTCTTATCATAGAGAGGTAATGAAAAGAAAAAAAAATTTAGATTTTTGAATTGAAATTGATTTCATCTCTTTTTTTTCCGGGTTAACTTTTAAATTTTCTAGGTTCCAATTTCTAGTTTTTGGACATATTTATTTGTATTGTCTAAAGTACCGGAACTAGTCGACACTGTATTCGTTGTATTACGTCGACAGAAATTGATATTTTTACATTGGTATCATCATACTACTGTATTGATATTCACATGGTATTGTTATGCCGATGAAACTTCTGTAGCTCGTTGGTATGTTTATATGAATTATTCAGTTCATGCAATGATGTATTCATATTATGCCATACGTGCTGCTGGAATACGACTACCAAAACCGTTGGCAATGTCGATTACAATGTCACAAATTGTTCAAATGATTATTGGTGCTATTGTTACATTCTATGCATATTATGTACGACAAATCAAAGGTCAACAATGTAGCATTTCATTCGATCGACTTTATGCCGGTTTAGCAATCTATATTTCATATTTAATGTTGTTTGCCAATTTTTTTATCAAATCATATTTCTCATCGAAACCAAAAACTATTACTAATGTCGATATAAAGAAAACTCAATAATCTGAAAAAAAAAAGAAAAAGAAAGCGTTTCTGTGAATCTCAAAATGAAAAAAATTCTCATCATAATAATTGTTATATGCAATATTTAGGAAAAAAAAATCTAATTATAATTATAATTGTTTGTTTGTAATAATGAATTAAAATTTACAATTTTTTCAAAAAAATAAAAAAAATAAAAGTAAAAATAAAAACAAAAACCATTAATCAAGCCACCACTAGATGGCGTAGATTGTTTCAAAACAAATTGTTTAAAATATAGCCAACTGCTGCCATCTATTGTTGCATTAATTAATTGAATCATAGAATTTAAAAATTCGAATTCTGTAATTTAGTTTTAAAAATGAAAAATTCTTTTTTTACAAATTAAATTTTATCGCTAGAAATTGTATAAGTATTCACACATTAACATGAATTTTTTATTTATTTATTTTCTTGATTTATATTTGATTGAATTTTTTCGGTACATTGTTTTTTTTGCTCTCCATTCGTAGTGTGTTTTTTTTTTTTTTTTTTAAATCTTCAAACCAAAATTTGTAAATGGCTGATCAAAAATCAACATCGGTTACGAAAGATTTGTCTGCAACAAAAATGCAGTCAAAACAACAAGATCATCCAGAAATGAAACAATCTCAGACTAAAGTATCGGCATCAGTCAATGAAACATTACAAATGAAAACATCGGTACAAGCAAGTCAGCAGCAGCAGCAACAGCAACCTGTTGTTCAACCAAAAGTTTCGGCAGCATCAATTGGTGAGAAATCACTGAGCATACGTTCTAAAGCAGCAGGACCAGTCAGCGGTCAACCAGTACAGTCAAACATGAATATAACAAAAGTTCCACCATCAATGAAAGCTATGGCTAATGAAAAATCAATAAGTATGAAAAATTCTGCCTTACAACCAATGACAAAAAAATCAGCATTTGTACCATCAAAAATGCATCCATTACCACAGCCATTGCAGCAACATACAACACAACAATCTACTACTGGTGCTGCTACTGTTAATCAGAATGCAAAAATGAATTCGTTGGCCGTTGTACCAAAATCTAAGATACAAGATTTTGATACCAAAACTGCATTGCAGCCATTCAAAGGACCAAATGGCCAGCAATTAATGCAGAAAAAAAGTGACCAATTATCAGTAGGAAAATCGGTTATTGGCGGTTTGGATGGAAAATCATTAATGACAGAATCATCAGTGGAAACACGTGAAACATTGACAATTAAAATCTCACAAGGTAAAGATACGACAGAGATTACACAGGTGATTGAGAAAAAATCACCTAGTTCCAAACGAAAGAAACGATCACGTTCACCTCGACTAATGATACTGCCAAGTACACAACAAGAAGATAAGGCTAAAAATTTGCTTGCTATTAAAGGACCACCACCACCACCATCATCATCACTAGAACCACAAAAAGCAATAACTGCAGCTGTACCAGCAACAGATCAATCTAAATTGATGGAACCAAAATCTGTAATACCAACATCTGGTATTGTTGAAATATCCACAATAACTGGTTCAAAGATTACACCATCATTATCTGGATTTCCAATAGTAGATGAATCTGGTACAAAAATTTCAATAAAAAAATCTAAATCACCACCACAAAAAATTGAAAAAGATGAATCGAAAAAAGAAAAAAAAGAACAACAACAATTACCACCATCATCACAATTAACAACTAGTAAATCATCAGCTATTACTACGATGACAACATCAAAAACACCGATAGGTCCATCGATAAGTAGTAAATCATCACGAAGACGACGACGATCATCGGATCGATCATCGTCAAGACGTTCGAAAAAAAGTTCAAAAGTTTCTATTACACGTGAAAAAACTAGACAATCATTATCTGGCGATGTTTCTTCTGGTGGTTCGGCGGCAGGTGGTGGTGGTGGGGTGGTGCTGGAACAAAAATTGTTGAACGTATACATGCAAAAGTTGTACAAACAATAGAACAAAAATCTAGAGCACAAAAACAACGTGAAGAACGTATAGAATTTCTATATAGCTGTTCATTACATTTTCTATCACAAATTGTTGGCTGTGCATTGCTCGTATTATTGGCCTTATTGTTCATACAATTTTTCGGTGGATTCAGTAATGTTGCTGATTCGGATAAAATTTTCAATTTTCATCCATGGCTTATGGTATTTGGTTTAGTCTATCTAGGTGGTAATAGTAAGTGGGGGGTGAACACACAATGAGAGAATCCTTTCGAACACTAATCGTACTACTAATTTTTATTTTTATTTTTTAGCTTTATTATTCTTAACACCGAAACGTAAATCATTCGGTATAATACGTACATTATTATTGTTTTGTATGTCCATTATTGTATTGATTGCATCGATAATAACGATTTATTGGCATTTTAAAAAAGATGTACCGAATTTTTTTACACTACATTCATGGTTCGGTATGATGACATTAACATTGATGATCATTTATGTTAGTGCAAATGGCTATCTATATGGTTCACGTAGTGGTCAACGTATTTTACAATCAGAAAATTCTGATTCAATTGAATCATTAACAAATATACGTTTGATTGGCATATCTACATTATTAATGAGTGTTGTAACAAGTTTGCTTGGTTTAAATCAATTGACTAGTTTCATTACTAGTGATATACAAACCGGGCAAACATCATATCAATTACTTGTTAATGTTATTGGTATATTTTCCATTGCATTCACATTATTCATTGTATTTCTTGTATCAAGATTACGTATTCGTAGTAAATCACGTGAAGAATGGGAAGAACGTGTACAAATGGCTGTTGATAAAGCAATGGAAAATATGCAAGCATCTGGAGCATTTGATTCACCACCACCACCACCATCGACAAAATCAACAATTAAGTCAACAACAGTTTCAAGTGGAACAACAAAACAGCAACTAAAACGATCAAAACGTAGTAGTGGTGGTGGCCGCAAAAAAAGAACAGGAAAAAGTAGTCGTTCATCACGTGTATCGACTACCAGTAGCGGTGTCAGTATTGGTGGTGGTAGTACCAGCCAGTTATCATCAAAATTATCCAAACAAAAATCTAATGATGAAAAAAAGGATAAAAATAGCCAAAAATCATCTACAACATCGTCAACAACATCGTCATCATTGTTATCAAAAAAACAAAAAAGTAGTTCAAGTTTAGGTCATCATAGTACTACTAGTAGTAGCAGTAGTGGTGGTGGTAGCAATATCGTAAGTCGTCAAGATGGTGTTGGTGGTGGTAATTCAAGTAAAAACAATTCAGAAATTACAATTCCAGGAAGTACAAATAGTTCAATCAAAATTCCAAGTATGACTAGTTCAAAATCGGTTCTTTCAAATGATATTAACAACAAAAGTAGTTCTGCTGATGATGATGATTCTGCTTTTCGAATGAAAACAAAAATCGTAACGAAATGAATTTTTCTCAATGAAAAAACCATACACACACACACAACAACACCTTTTTAATGAATATTGTAATATTGTTGTGTGTCGATGGATGGTGTTTTTTTTTTTTTTTTTGATTTGAATGATCATTTGATTTGTGTAACGGCGGGTGTGTGTGTGTGTGTGTAGTATTGCAATTGAATAAAATTAGAAGAAAAATTGTTTGAAAAAAATAATTAATCTAGCTAATTTCTTCTTTTTTTGTATTATGCACTTTTTTCATCATAATAAAATCAACAAACAAACGCGATGATTGATAATCATCTCGCGTTTTGTTTTTTTTTTTTTTGTTTGAACAGCAAGAAAACATGTATGGAAATTAATTGGAATTTTGTTTGTTTTATGGATCTACTACGGATATAATCAAGTTCGTATTACAAAGGAAACAGTTACAGTAATGGATGATCGGCCTGGTCAAATTCTTGATTGGATCGATGCATGGATGGATGGATGGATGGCCACTCAAATTTCAAATCAATAGAAATAGAAAGAAAAATTCAAAATTGAAATCAAATTAAAGTGAAATTTTTCTCAATTTTTTTTTCAAGAATATTCTTCTGTCCACCGCCTTTTATAATGACAAATGGGAAACAATTTTGTAATCAAATATTCTGTGTGTGTGTGTGTGTGTGTGTGGATTGAGAAAATTGTTTCATTTGAAATAGAATGATCACTACTACCAATCATCATCATTCAATCTTATTATTATTATTATTATTATTATACATTTCACATAGTCATCTTTATCAATTGCGATTACTAATATAACAAACGATGAGATAACAATGATAATCAAATGTGGAAAAAAAAAAAGAAAAAGAAAGAAGGAAAAAAAATGACGATGATGATGATCGAACCACCACTAAGAAAGAAAAATGGACACACATACACACAAAAAAACGGAGAAGAAATACTAACAATTTCCAGACGACTTGATATCCACATCTAGAGTCTAATGTTGAATGATCATTCAGATGAACAAGAATAAAAATAAAAAGAAAAAGAAAAAAAAAGAAACAAGAAAATACATCCATACACTATATTCTGGCGATGCTATATGAATATGAAGATGGAGAGATGGTGAAAGAAAGAAAAAAAAAGCTAGATCGGAAATCAAATTGCAAGGAATAAATGTGGATGCATGCATGTTGGAATTTTTTTTTCGTTTTTTCTTCTTTTTTTTTGATTTGTTTCGGACAACATCTTCGATTAGTTGGTTATTTTTTTGTGATGGTGGTCTAGATCTCTCTTTTAAATCATCGATATGAAATCCATTCATCTAATAACTATCGATGGATATTGGGCAATCAAACTAAACGTTTTTATTATTATATTGGATGTGTGTTTGATGAAATTCCACAAGAATTACTATTTATTGTTCGTTTGTTTGTTTGTTTGTCCAAGGAAAAAAAATTGTACAAAACCACCACCACCACCACCTCCACCAATAACCAGCGAAAAACATTTTACCATTTTTTTTTTTTTCTTGATCCAAAAAAAAAAAAATCCAAAATCAGAAAAAAATGCAATATAAATAACAGAAAAAAAAGGAAAATAAATCTTCTGATTCTGATGATCATCGTCATCATTCAATGTATGTTTTGGTGATGAGATTCATACTTATTGCTTGCAAACAAAAAAAAAGAAAGAAAATGTCCCTTGTGAATTGTTCACCATAAGTATGATGTATATATTTTTTTCAATGAAAAACAAACATATCAATGATGATGATGATGATGATGACAACCAAAGACAATAATAATAATAATAATAACGGCAACGGCAACAAAACTTTATCTAGAAAGTGACCAATAAGTGCAGCAATATATACAAAAGAAAAAAAAATACCCACTTACACACACACACACACACTTGAACACATATATATAAACACAAATGATGACTTATAATGAAATAAATGATTGAATCGAATCGAAAAGAAAGAAAAACCAATACCCAATCTGTGTGTGTGTGTGTGTGTATGTTCCAATACAGACACATTTTTTTTTTTATTTCAAAGACAAATATGTTTATCATCAATAATCATTGTAGCCATCACTTATAAAAGTTTTTTTTTCCTTGGAAATTGACAATATTCTTTGTGTGTGTGTGTACATTGCCAATCAAAGGCAATATTTACATATATTATATAGAATTTCAATCTCTTTTTTGTTTGTTTCTCATTTTTCATTGTCTTTATCTTTCATTGCAATGATGCAAAACATAAGAATGGACAAAAAACCGGAAAAAAACATTCTATTAGGCATTTATTTCAATTTTTGGAGATTTCTTGTTATTTTGAAATCTTCTTAATTCTTCTTCTTTGAATATATATAGCCATTTATTTATGCTAAATAAAATACATCTATCCATAAGATAAATTCAAACATTCATGTTTATATTGCATTTTGTTTGTTTGTTTGTTTGTTTTGTTCAGTTTCTACCAATTTCTCTATATCCATCTTCAAAGTTTTCATTTCCCCACGATTGTTGTTGTCGTTGTCGTCGTCGTTGTTGTTGTTGTTGTTGTTATTTTTGAAGACGTACAACGACAATGAGATAACAGCTTGACAGCTTTATTTTTCACCATAACCAATTCTAACAACATTTTGATAATAACAACAACGACAAGGACAACAACAACAACAACAACAAGAAATTATATTTACGGGTGAACTCATTTCAATTTCCTTTTCGTTTACAAATACAAACGCATCAACTAAAGAAACGCTTTCAAACCTCTCTCTCTCTCTCTCTCTCTCTCTCTCTCTCTTTTCTCTCTATGGACTAAGAGAGATATAAGATGAGAGAGAGAGAGAGAGAGAGAGAGAATCTATTCGTATTCGTTTTTCGTTTGTTTCGAAATTGTCATCATCATATTTATTTGATTCGATATTCGATTTTCATATCGATTCTGTATGATGAAAACATATTCCATAGAGACAATTATAAAATTTTTTTTTTTTTGATGAAAAATTATTACAACAGAATTGTGTCATAAAATAATTGAATGAGAGAAAGTGAAAGTCAAGAATAAATTTTCTGGCTTCCATCACTACATGGACATTGTATGGAAAGAGAAACGGAAATTGTCAGGAAACAAAAAAAAATAATGCTGGAATTAAAATTAATTGCAACAAAAAAAAAAAAAAAATAAAAGAATGAAAGATCAAGAATGAGAAATGATTCCAAATGATTTTATTTGTAATGTAATTCCAGATTCTAATTTCACACTAATCCTGACTTTTTTTTTTTTGTCTCGAAATTTTTTTTTGGTTTCACTCAGGACACAAATGAACGCAATAAGAACATTACAATTACAAATGACAAATGCAAATTTTAAATTGTGAATGAAAATGACAATAAACTTTTTTCTGGTCCAAGAAAATAAAACAAACTAGGATTTTTTTTTATTATTATTGAGAATGAAAAAAAAAAAGTGAGTAAATAAATTTGAAAATTTCATCAATTTCAAATTAAAATTGCAATAAAGATTGGATGAAATTCTTTTCCATTCGAATTCCATGAATTCCGTGAAATGTATTGTGATACAATGAAGAAGAAGAACGCGATAGATAAACGAGAAATGTGGAAGTAAAGAGAACTCTTCACAGGCTTGACAAAAAAACAAAACAAAACAAAAAGAAAATCATTTCTCACGTTTGAAATACACAACGCGCACACACACACACAAGAATATTTTGCATATATATATTGATGAACCAAAAATGTAAGAAAATCCTAATTTTTTTTCTCTCTGATAACCAACCAAAAAAAAAAAAAAAAAAAAAAAACGGAAATCATCTGTCTTATCATCTGTTTTTCCTGTGTTTCACTTTTTTTTTGCTGTTATCGATATATACATACATATATTATATGCATGTGAAAGTTTTTTTTTCTATAAGTAAAATCAGAAAAAAAACAAGAAGAAAATCCTTGTTATTTTCATAAAGCTAATTCGGAAATTGGAAACTTTGCAGCCAGAAAACAACAACAACAACATACAACAACATGTGTGTGTGTGTGTACATATAAGCAGATTATCAACGTCTTTCAAATACGACAAACGGAACAAGATAATCATTTTTGACAAAATACGAAAAAAAGAATGAGAAAAAACTTTTTCTTGCTCAAAAAAAAAAATTCACAAATCACGACCAAAACCAGATTTATCACACACACACACACACACACACACACAAATTCTATATTCTTCAATAACTTTTTGGTTGATACGAAAAAAAAAAACGTCTGTTTTTGAAAAATTATACTCGACTAGTATAATAATCATTATAAATAGAGAGAAATATTGTGTTGTTACTACTTGGCAGGAACAAAAAATGAAAATAAAATTTTTAAATTTAGATTAAGAAAATGAAAAGTGAATGAAGAAAAAAAGACGAAAAATTTTTCTTTTTCTTTCTTTCTTTCTCGATATACATTATAAATGATTGGTTATTAGTCGGGAAAAACGGAAAAAATTTTTTTTTTCCCATAGAAAAACTTGAACCAAAACCATAGAGAAAAAAAATCGAAATTGAAATAAATGATGATGATTGAACGAAAACGATGAAACAAAATTGCGGTCAAAATGGTCGAATTTTTTTTTTCAAAGTTTTGTTCCATGTCTTTTGCCTGAACTGAATCATCAAACATCAAACGAATTTAATTTCAGATTTTATCGCACTTTGAATTTTAAATAAAATACAAAGTTTCAATGCCAAAAAAATTATGATTCCGTTTGATAATTACTTGAAATTGAATACACACACACACACACACGCAGACACGCGTGCATTAAAATCAATAATGATGGTTATTAAGATCAGAACATGGAATATTCTATGAATATAACCATTTAGGCCCTAAAGGGAAGAACGAACAACAACAACAACGATTCCGTATCAAGTTTTTTATTTTGGCAAACAAAAACATTCATATTTACATTATTCTGTGTTTGTTTGCTTGTTTGTGTCATTAA